TCTGACTATCATTGACTTATCAAGTACATTTCGCTACAGAAAGAGGACACTCTCAACAGTCAGCACAGGCATTCTGGTCTACCTGGCAGTTCCTTCCTCATAGAGCAGGATTTCTTAACCTGGGTCTTTTGAAGAATCATCAGCTCCTTTTTTTTTTTTTTTTTAAATTGTGATTTGAGTGAAAGTTTACAGAGCAAATTCATTTTCCATATAACAGTTCATACACATTTTATTTCATGACATTGATTGCAATCCCCTTAATGAACAGCTCTCTTCCCACTTCTTCCCTGTGGTTACCCTCTCCCCGTGTCCTTCTTTCCTAGGCATTTCTGCCCTCTGAGCCATCTCCCTGTGCAAATACTGCCCTTCTGATCTCCCATGGTTGACTGTTCTAAGGAATGTACCTACCTGGTGTAAATGTTCACTTTACATGCCTGCTTATTGTTTGGCTGGAAGCCATGGGAGTGAGCTCAATGCCAGGCCTGAAGGGTGATTAGGAGCCATTGTCTCAGGGTTTCACCAGTCTCTATCGGACCAGTAAGCCTGGTCTTTTCTATGATTTTCAGTTTTTTCCACATTTTTCTCGCACTCTATCCAGGATGTCCTACACTGATCTCTTTCTAAGTGGTTGACAGTGATAGCTGGGCACCATCTAGTTCTCCTAGTTTCAGGGTCATATAGGCTAAGGTTTGCATGGTCCACTAGTCCCTTGGACTAATTGTTTCCATATGTCTTTGTTTTTTTTCATTCTTCTTTGATCCAGACAAGGAGGGACCAATTGTTACATTTTAGATGGCCACTTGCAAACTTTTTAAGACCTCAGTCATTATTCACCATGTAGGACAAAGTTTTTGTGTGGTATGTTATGCCAATTGAGCTTGATGTCCCCTGGGACCATTGTCCTGAGTCCACAGACCCAACAACACACTCCTCAGGGTGGTTGGCTGTGGAACCATCAATTTTTTAAGATGATATGCAAAATGGTGTGTGTGTATGTGTGTGTGTATGGTGCATGGATAGGAAAGAAGGACAAAGGGCATTTTTCTGGGGAGAGGGTTCATAGTTTTTGTTATTCCTAGGGGAATTATGACTTCAGAAAGGAGAAAGATTAATGTTAAGGAAAAATGTTCATCTTCTTATTTGTACATTGGCCTCCTATGAGTTTAGTCACTGTAAATTAGTCTAACCAGTCTTGGGTCACTCACCAAACTGAGGTTTGGACCCTCCAAGTAACTTCCCTAGACAACGGGCCAATCAGCCTTCTTGGACTGCATGGTCTCTCGTACCTCTCAGTCTTTACATATGCTGTTTACTCTGCCGGGGAAATCCTTTCCTCTAGCCTTGTGGCCATCTCCCAGTTATTCTTCAGGTCTCAGCTTTGATGAATCTCAGCTTGTCAAAAAGACAATGTTCTACATCCTACATTGGTAATACTGCCTGGAGTCCTAAAAGCTTGCGAGAGTTCATCAAAGATACAGCTACTGGTCTTTCCAAGTCTAGAGAAAAGAAGAGTGAAGGAAATCAAAGATGCAAGGAAACAATTAGTCCAAAGCACTACTGGACCATGTGGACCCCAACTTCCATGCCCATGAGAACAGAAGAACTAGACGGTGCCTGGCCAC